CACCCCCCTCCCGGTCCGGCCGCAGGGGCTCCGTGCGCCTCGTGCCTTTGGCTCCGATGGGCTGCCTCGCCCTCGAGGATCACCGAAGTCAGGACTTAATTGTTCTTTTCTGCTGAATCAAAGTGGTCCCCAATTCACATCACATTCGCCTATTTACTGCCGCATTTACAGGGAATGTGTGTGTGTGTGTGTGTATGTGAGCGAGCGCGCATGTGTATGTGTGTGTGTGTGTGTGCCTATATATATTTACACAATGGCCAAGCTTGGTCAAAAACGATAGCTCATTGATACTGTCACTGTAATTACCACAGCCGGCCCGCCATCCTCACTAACACCGCTGCTTACTGGTCAGTGCCATTAATTAAACCGAGAATCAGAAATAAAGGAATCCATTCACCTTCGGAAATAATATTCACCGAGGAAGTGAAAGCGAAAGAACAGATTTTTTTATCGAAAGAAGCTGCGATGACTTACTGTATTCGTATCCATACTCATATCCATGCTCCTGGCGCCGCTGGAAAGACTCTGTTGTGGTTGTCGCTGGTGGCTCGGTGGTGGAAGGTGGCACAACTGGAAAGGAGATCGTCAATTAATGAAGGTAATCAACCCTTACATTTTTTTTCGACGAAGGAACATATAAAATCTCTCCATTTCCTTTCAAAAGAAAGTATAATCTTCCCGCTTTCCTCCTTCATCAAAGAAAACGTGAATGCCCTCCGTTTTCTCTAACATAAAGACGGTGAAGGGTAACTGTAGAATATAAATATCTATCTATCTATCTATCTATCTATCTATCTCTCTATCTATCTATCTATCTATCTATCTATCTATATATATATATATATATATATGTCAATATATGGTATATATATGTACATTCCCAACGCAACACACCACAAATCAGATGCTGAGGAACGTAGCCCTGTTCGCCATGAAGCCACTCATAGTCGTTGCCTCCCCTGTGTTGGCAGACCATCGTGACGGACGGGATGTGGTCACGGGGCACGTAGCCCTCTGCGCACGTGACCTCAGCCTGGAAGGACAAGGGTCAGATCAGGTCAATTTAGAAGTCGTTTCTGGAATTTTCTAAGAGGACTACAGGCTGACAGAATGTCATGTTGGTGATGTCCTTTCATCTTCACGAAAAATCAACTGATAGTTTCGTTATTGTGAAAATAATTCCTGTCATAATCATCATCATGTGTATTACGTAAATTATTAGAAGAACGAAAATACTTGTGTCGTTCCTTATGGTAAATGATCATAATAAGAGAAATATCAATGATAACGAAAATATTAATAACAAATAAAAATGACGATAATAATCATACTACTACTATTACTAATGATAATGATGATTATGATGATGATAATAATAATAATAATAATAATAATAATAA